TTATAGAAACATGCAAAATGACAATCCAGGTTCAATACGTCAATATTTTTACAAAATGTATTGATTATTTGTAGACAGATTATCCACATGTATGTTTTACAAACCATAATTTGAACCACCTGGCCAGTACCATTTCGTTGAGGCTGTGAAGGAATGGGAAGAAAAGCATCTGTCCATTTGTTCATGTCTCCTGTTGTAAACCATGTATATTGTCATTACACCTTGTAACCCAGTCTACCGATACAGGCTGTGTATTGTATATAATAATAGCTGGCATTGTGGCCTTTAATGATTTGCACTGTCAAGCCCTGTTAATCCAGACTACTCTTCCCATTTTGTCTGGATAAGCAAAGTTAGGATGTACAGCTGATAGTGATGTATGAAGTGATTCTGTGACCTTTTGTAAAGTTGATGAAATAACCATCAAATCAAGCACAACACTCTAAAGGGTTTGGGTAAACTTCTCTGCATATTTAATATGTAACCTTACCTTGCCTTTGTCAGTTCATGGAGATGAGATTTATTGATCAATCTGTGACTGATGGCTGTTTTATTAGGGTCGACAGAGAGTACGTTGATGCAAATAAGTATCATGTGTTGGCTGTTCATGTGTAACATTTATCTGTGAATAATATTTTTGTAATATGATCTATTTTTCAATTTGATTAAAAGCACAGCTTTTAAAATATAAGTGTGCATGAAAACTTGTCATAAGTGCATGTATTTGTTTGTAGTCGTGTAAATATATAAGATCACTTCAGCTGTAACACCTAGTGCAGGGGATTTCCAATGGTAATTAATGACTTGAAGTCATTGCTTAAGGGATAACATTTCACCTACCAGTTTGTCTTTAACCATGACAGTCAAATGGCTAAAATATTGCTGACAGTCATAGTGGCTGAAATATTGCTTATAGCAGTCATTATTACAATCATTGCAGTTTTCAGTTGCAGTGACACGTCATTGTGGCTGATATATTGCTTATAGCAGTCATTATTACAAGGCAGACATGTTGCAGTTTCAGTTGCAGTGACATGGCTGATATATTGCAATATCAACTGGAACTTCGTTGCAGTTTTGTAATCTATTAAATCTCAGTATGTGATTTGCATCTTTGAAAAAAATATACCTCAATGAAACCTTTCTCAAGCATGAAAAGGGCTCTTGCAGTTCACTCGCAGTACGAAGCTCTCGTCAAAGATCAGTAATTACCTCACCTTCATTGAGCTTGAGGGATCATACAATTTCACTGTTGTAGGAGCTCCAAATATATAGTACTGCTTGACCGTTCTTGTACATATGTGATTAAATAGTACTTTTCCTTATACACACACACACACACAATATTTGTATCTATGTGGATATCCATTAAATGGTTCATATGTTTGTCACGTTTATTAGTCTCACTGTGATTTTGTGCACAAGGGCAGGTAACTCTAACCAACCTTGAACAGGCATTGCTGCAGATGTGTTTGTGGTGACTCCTTAAGGTCAGTTGAGTCGTATATTGTAAAATTATTTAATCCTTGAAGTGAATCTATGTACAATAGAATAATGTCTGTCTGAAATCTTGAACATTGTTTATCATAACTGAGACAGATTCATGCTGATGGGTTGTTGTCAGCACAGGTTCTACAGATGTGTACCCCATTTCTGTGTACAGAAATTTACCTGTGGTACACATCTGTAGTCCCCTTCCCGCCGACACCTTCAGCCATCGTTAGCCATGGTATCTATTGTGGTTCTGCTACATTTGCACCAAGGTGCTAATTCTTGTTGAAATTGGTGCAGTAGTATCCTTACAATCATCTTTACATTGTTACCTCAAAATAAGCAGTTGTTTGAAAAATCCTTTAAAACAAAGCACTATTCTTATGTGATTGGTTTCTAGAGACTGAGAAAGTTCTTAATGAGAAGGAGCAACGGCTGGATAGCAATGACACTGTAAGTGTAATACATGGGGTATCTGACAGACCTCCCAAAGAAAAGATTGCTTAAAACAGCACATTTTATGGTTGGTTGCAGGGTATTGCCCAGATAAAAAGACAACTTATAGTTTTATCAATTCATGTAATGAATTATGATTTTTAAATTAAGACATATTGCATCAACAGATGTACATCAACATCTGTTTGCCAGATCACATTTACTTGTGAATATTATCAAACACAATAATTTATATACATGTTCCTAAAAAACATATGAGACCAAGCACCATATTATTTTCCATCACATGTCAGATAAGAGCAGAGAAAACACTTATTAGAAAGTCACTTGTACATCATCATTGTCTCCTTTCACCTTGCTCTTGGATAACAGGTAGCCATCTAGAAAGTTGATCGGAAAAAAAGTCATGGGAAAATTAACTATTATGAAACATGTTTATACTGAATTTGTTGTTTTTTTAAATATTATTATCAATTATAAATACTATTTCACTTTCATCTTCAGTAATAAAAAACATCCTGTTCTCCAGTTATTTGCAAAAACTAATTCCAAAACATGTAAATAAGCTTATTGAGTCATACTGTCATATTAGCTGAAACAAGTGATGGATTGCAAAAAACTTTGAATGTGTTTGACCAGTATTGTAAAGAATGGAAACATAGTGTGAATTTAGATGTCTGTGATGAACTTCACTTTATTTTATACTCTCCAGCACTAAATGCCCTCAGAAATCAATTTCTTCCCCAATATTTCTGTAAACATCGTACTATTGAAAAATTTGTTTATCTAATGAAATGTGATTATTCACCACTTAACTCTATAGTTGCCAAATTTATCAAAACTGGACTTTGCTCAGTGTTTTAATATGTGTCAATATGCTGCATGTTCTCTTTGTCTCTTTATGTGAATTTTTTAGAATAAAATTTCGGTTCTATTCTGTTCTCTTCAGTAACAGGATTAGTATTGTGTTTTGAGAAGGGCACAGGTGATAGGAGTGTGCTGTTACTATACTCTGTAGTGACTCTGGGTCAGCTCATTAATTAAATAGGGATGGACAGTATGGCTCAGCTAATTAGTGTACTCATTGAGTCTGTCTTATGGGAGGTCTGTCTTTTGGGAGTGAACCCATGTGGGGGGGGAAAACACCACCCTGCCTGTTGTGTAATTATTATTGATGTTGTGAGATGCTGATGTCTTTGTAACCATGTGTCTTTCAAATATCCTGTATTCTTTGATTGTTTTGCATTACTAAACCATGCTTTCTGTTTTGTATGTAAATACTGAGAGCTGTGTAATAAAATATTTGCACTTTCCTGTCTCACAGTGTGTGTTCAGAACCAGGAGGAGTGAGTGAGTTTAGTTTTTCGCCGCACTCAGCAATATTCCAGCTATATGGCGGCTGTCTGTAAATAATCGAAGAGTCTGGACCAGACAATCCAGTGATCAACAGCATGAGCATCGATCTGTCCAATTGGGAACTGATGACGTGTGTCAACCAAGTCAGCGAGCCTAACCACCTGACCCTGTTAGTCGCCTCTTACGACAAGCATAGTCGCCTTTTGTGGCAAGCATGGGTTGCTGAAGACCTATTCTACCCCGGATCTTCACGGGTCAAAAGAGGACCAGGTTTAGGAGTCCTTGATAATGGTTATTTCGTTTGAAGTGAGTGAGTAGATTTAGTTTTGCGCCGCACTCAGCAATATTCCAGCTATATGGCGGCTGTCTGTAAATAATCGAGTCTAGACTAGACAATCCAGTGATCAACAGCATGAGCATCGATTTGCGCCATTGGGAACCTATGACATGTGTCAACCAAGCCAGCAAGCCTGACCACCTGATCCCGTTAGTAGCCTCTTAAGACAAGCATGGGTTACTGAAGGTTCATTCTAACCCAGACCATCACAAGTATGTTTCATTTGGGTTGGCAGAGAGGAGTGTTGCTTATGGAAGTACATTCTCACCTACCAGTTTGTCTGCTGCTGACCTCTATACCATGACAGTCAGTGGTTGAAATAATGACAATCATAATGACATGCTGAAATATTGCTTATAGCAGTCATTAAAGGCACAATTTCACATATTTTCAACAATATTATATATTTTGGGGCACATATGCACTCACTTTAGCTTTCTATTGATGCAAGGACATCCCATGAAATGGAATCACAGAACGGACACCACAAGAAACGAAAAATCGGAACAGACGCAAGGACAGGAAAACGAAGAACGAAAAGGAATGACAACCCACATGATGAACAACGACAACAGACATACACATGGAACACCAACATGGACAGAAGGAAACGACAGGACATGAGCCGAAGAACCCGACAAGGACCCCGACCCAACACAACACATGGAACTGACAGGCCACCGAACACCAAAGGAAGATGGAATCAACTAACGGACCGGAGGAAAGACGGAAATGGAGGAAAAAGGAAGACGAATCCAGACGAGACGAAGAAGACGGAAACGGAAGGAGGAAGGAAGAGCAGCGGAAACGGAGGAGAAGAAGAGAATGGAATGAGAACGGAGGAAAAGGAAGAACGGAAGAACAGAAAATGAGACAAGAACGGAGGACAGTGGACGGAACGACGAATGGACACGACGTGGACGGAATGAAACGAATGACGACGGAGGACGAAGATGGAAGAAACGACAAGGAGGAAATGGAGACGGAAAGGAGACGAAGGCATGGAGGAAGGACCGGAAGGACATGGAGACGAGGACGGAGGATGGAAGGAGGACGGAAGGACGAATGGAGGAGACGGAGGAAGGAGGAGGAAGGAGACGAGGAAAAGGAGGAGACAACGGAAGGAGAGGAAACGGAGAGAAGGAAAATGGAATGGAGACGGAGGAAGAGGATGGAAGGAGAGGACGGAAGGAAGGAAAGGAGGAGGAAGGAAAGGAGGAATGGAGATGGAATGGAAGGAGAGGATGGAAGGAAGAGGATGGAAGAGGAAAAGGACTTGGAAGGAAGGAAAGGAAGGAAGGACAAGGAAAAGAGAGGGAAGAGGAAGGAAAGGAGATGATGGAAAGGAGGAAAGGATGGAATGGAATGGAAGAGGAAAGGAGGAGAGAAATGGAAGGAAAGGTGGATGGAAGGAGAGGGAATGAAGGAGAGGAGAAGGAAAGGAGGAAAGGAAGGAATGGAAGGAGGATGGAAGGAAGATGGACGAGGAGAAGGAAGAGATGGAGACGAGAAGGAAGGAAGGAAATGGAATGGAGGATGGATGGAAGGAGAGGATGGAAAGGATGGAAAAAGGAAGTGGAGGAAAGGAATGGACAAGGAGGAGGAAGAGGAAGGATGGATGGAAGGAAGAAGACAAAGACAGGGAAGGAGATGGAAAGGGAAGGAGGATGGAAGGAAGAGGATGGACATGGAAGGAAAGGATGGAAGGAAGGAAGGAAAGGAGGAAGGAAAGGACCAGTGGATGGAATGGAAGGAGGATGGATGGAAGGAGGAAGAGAGGATGGAAGGAAGGAGGATGGATGGAAGGAATGGAGGAAGGAGGATGGAAGGAGATGGATGGAAGGAGGAGGAGGAGTGGAATGGACTGGAGGGATGGAGAAGGAAAGGAGGATGAATGAGGAAAGAATGGATGGAAGGAAGGAAGGAAAGGAAGGAAGGATGATGGAAGGAAAGGAGAGAGGAAGGATGGAAAGAGAAGGAAGGAAGATGGAAAGGAAAAGATGGAAGAAGGAAGGAAGGAAAGAAATGGAAGGAAGGATGGAAGATGGGAGGATGGAAGATGGAAGGATGGAGGAAAGGAAAGGAAGAGGGAGGAAGGAAAATGGAGGAAGAAGGAAAGGATGGATGAAGGAAGGAAATGGAGGAAAGGAGGAGAGAAGGAAGGAAGAGAGGGATGGAAGGAAGGAAGGATGGAGTGGAAGGAGAAAGGATGGAAGAGAATGGAAGGATGAAGGAGGAAAAGAAGAGAAATGGAATGGAAAGGGAAGGAATGGAAAGGAGGAAAGATGGAAGGAAGGAATGGAGGAAGGAGGAATGAAGGATGGAATGGATGGATGGAAAAAGGATGGAAAGGAAGGATGGAAGGAAGGAAAGGACAGAGGAAGGAAGGAAGGAATGGAGGAATGGAATGGAAGAGGAAGGAAGGAATGGAAGGAAGGAATGGAAGGAAGGAAGGAAGGAATGGAAGGAATGGATGGAAGAATGGAGGAAGGATGGATGGAAGGAAGGAGGGAAGGGAAGGAAGGATGGAAGAATGGAAGGAGGATGGAAAGAAGGAAGGTGGATGGAATGGAAGGAGGAAGGATGGAATGGAATGGAAATGGAAGGAATGGAAGGAAGGAATGGATGGAAGGAAAGGAAGGATGGATGGATGGAATGGATGGAAGGAATGGAAGGAAGGAAGGAGGAAGGATGGAATGGATGGATGGATGGAGGAAGGAAGGATGGAAGGAAGAAGGAATGGAAGGAAGGAAAGGAAGGATGGAAGGAAAGGAATGGAAGGAAGGAAGGAAGGAAGGGAGGATGGAGGAAGGAAGGAAGGAATGGAAGGAAGGAAAGAAGATGGAAGGAAGGATGGATGGAAGGAAGGAAGGAAGGGAGGAATGGAAGGGAAGGAAGATGAATGGAAGGAAGGAAGGAATGGATGGAATGGAGATGGAAGGATGGGAGGGAAGAAGGAAGGAAGGAATGAAGGGATGGAAGGAAGATGGGAGGAAGGAAGAGGAATGGAGTGGAAGAGAATGGAGGAAGACGAGGACGAAACGATGAACGAGGAGGAGGACGGATGGAAGGATGGAATGGAAGGAATGACGGACGTGGACCGAAGGAGGGAGGAATGGACAGGGAGAGGAAGGAGGAAGACAAGGAAAAGAAGGAAGACGAGAGGACACATGGAAGGATGGAGGAGGAGTGGAAGAGAACGAGATGAAGGACATGGAGACGAGAATGGGACAGGATGAAGAACGATGGAAGACACAGGAAGGATGGACAGGACAAGGACGAGGACAAAGAGAAACGAAGGATGGACAAGGAATGGAAGGAAAGGAACAAGGAATGGAGAAGGACAGGAAGGAGGAAGGAATGGAGGAAGGAAGGAACAAGGAAGGAAGGAAGGAAGGAAGGAGGAAGGAGGAAGGATGGAAGGAAGGAGGAAGGAAGGAGGAATGGAAGGAAGGAAGGAGGAGGAGGAGGAAGGAAGGAAGGACGGAGGAAGGAAGAAGGAAGGAAGAGAGAAGGAAGGAGAAGGAAGGAAGGAAGGAGGAGGAAGGAAGGGAAGGAAGGAAGAAGGAAGGAAGTGAATGGAGGAAGGAAGGAGGAAGGAAGGAAAAGGAAGAAGGAAGGAAGGAAAGGAAAGGGAGGAAAGGAGGAAAGAAGGAAGGAATGAAGGAAGGAAGGAAGGAGGAAGGAATGGAAAGGAATGGAATGGAAGGAAAATGGAAAGGAGGAGGAAGGAACAGGAAGGAAGGAGAAAGGGAAGGGAGGGAAGGGGAAGGAAGAAGGAAGGAATGGATGGAAGGAAGGAAGGAAGATGGAAGGAAGGAAGGAGGAAGGAAGGAAGGAAGGAGAGAGGGATGAATGGAAGGAAGGAAAGGAGGGATGGGAATGGAGGAAGGAAGAGGAAGGAAGGAATGGAAGGAAGGAATGAATGGAAGGATGGATGGAAGGAGGATGGAAGGAAGGAAGGAAGGAATGGAAGGAAGGAAGAGGATGGAAGGAAGGATGGATGGATGGAAGGAAGAAAGAAAGGAAGGAAGGAGGATGGAAGAAGGAGGGAGGAAGGAATGGATGGAGATGGAAGGAAGGAGGAAGGAAGGATGGAAGGAAATGGAAGGGAAGGAAGAGAAGGAATGGAAGAAAGGAAGGAAAGGAAGGAAGGAGGAATGGATGGAAGGATGGAAGGGGAGGAAGGAAGGAAGGAATGGATGGAAGGAAGGAAGGAAGGAATGGAAGGAAGGAAGGAAGGAAGGAATGAAAGGAAGGAGGAAGGAAGGAAGAAATGGAAGGAAGGATGGAAAGAAGATGGAGGAAGAAAGGGAGGAAGGAAAGGAAGGAATGGAAGAAATGGAAGGAAGGATGGAAATGGAAGGAAGGAAGGAAGGAAGGAAGAAAGGATGGAAGGAATGGAAGGAAGGAAGAGAAGGAAGGAAGAAAGGATGAAGGAAGGAAATGGAGGAAGGAATGGAATGGAAGGAAATGGAGGAAGGATGGAAGGAAGGATGAATGGAAATGGAAAAGGAAGGAAGGAAGATGGAAGGAAGGAAGGAAGGAATGGAATGGATGAAGGAAGGAATGGGAAGGAAGGAAGGAAGGAAGAAGGAAGGAATGGATGGAAGGAAGGGATGGAAAGAAAAGGAAGGAAGAAGGAAGGAAGGAAAGGAAGGAATGGAGGGATGGAAGGAAAGGAATGGAGGAAGGAAGGATGGAAGGAATGGAGGAAGGAAGGAAGGAAGGAAGGAAGGAAGGAAGGAAGAATGGAAGGAAGGAAAGAAGGAAGGAATGGAGGAGGAAGGAATGGAGGAAGGAAGGAAGGAAGAAGGAAGGAGAGGAAGGAAGGAAGAAGAAGGATGGAAGGAAGGAAGGAAGGAAGGAAGGAAGGAAAGGAAGGATGGAAGGAAGAATGAAGGAAGGAATGGGAAGGAAGGAAGAAGGAAGAAAGGGAGGAGGAAAGGAAGGATGGAAGGAAGGAAGGGAAGGAAGGATGGAAGGAAGGATGGAAGGAATGGAGGATGGAAGGAAGGAAGGAAGAAGGAAGGAAGAAGGATGGATGAAGAGGAAGGAGGAAGGAAGGAAGGAAGAAGGAAGGAAAGGAATGGATGGAAGGAAGGAAGGAAGGAAGGAAGGAAGGAAGGAAGGAAGGAAGGAAGGAAGGAAGGAATGGATGGAAGGAAGGAAGGAAGGAAGGAATGGAATGGAGGAGAAGGAAATGGAAGGGAAGGAATGGAAGGAAGGAAAAGGAAGGAAGGAATGGATGGAAAGGAAGGAAGGAAGGAAGGAAGGAAGGAAGGAAGGAAGGAAGAAGAAAGGAAGGAAGGAAGGAAGGAAGGAAGGAAGGAAGGAAGGAAGGGAAGGAAGGAAGGAATGAAATGGAAGGAAAAGGAGGAAGGAAGGAAGGAAGGAAGGAAGGAAGGAAGGAAGGAAGGAAGGAAGGAAGGAAGGAAGGAAGGAAGGAAAGGGAAGGAAGGAAGGAAATGAAGAAGGAAGGAAGGAAGGAAGGAAGGATGGATGGAAGGAAGGAAGGAAATGAAGGAAAGGAAGGAAGGAAGGAAGGGATGGAAGGAAGGAAATGGAAGGAAGGAAGGAAGGAAATGGATGGAAGGAAGGAATGGAAGGATGGAAGAAGGAAGGAAGGAAGGAAAGGGAAAGGAAGGAATGGATGGAAGGAAGGAATGGAATGGAAGGAAGGAAAGGAAAGGGAAGGAATGGAAGGAAGGAAGGAAGGAATGGAAGGAAGGAAGGAAGGAAGGAAGAAGGAGGAAGGGAAGGAAGGGAAGGAAGGAAGGAAAGGAAGGAATGGAAGGAAGGGAAGGAGGAAGGAAGGAAGGAAGGAATGGGATGGAAGGAAGAAGAAGGAAGGAAGGAAGGAAGGATGGAAAGGATGGAAGGAAAGGAATGGAAGGAAGGAAGGAAGGGAAGGATGGAATGGAAGGAAGGAAGGAAGGAAGGAAAGGAAGGATGGAAGGGAAGGAATGGGAAGGAAAGGAAGGAAGGAAGGAAGGAAGGAAGGAAGGAAGGATAGGAAGGAAGGGAAGGAAGGAAGGAAGGAAGGATGGAAGATGGAAGGAAGGAAGGAAGGAAGGAAGGAAGGAAGGAAGGAAGGATGGAAAGGAAGGAGGAATGGAGGAATGGAAGGAAGGGAAGGAAGGAAGGATGGAAGGATGGAAAGGAAGGAAGGAAGGGAAATGGAAGGAGAGGAAGGAAGGAAGGACGGAGACAAGGACAGGAAGGAAGGAATGGAATGGAAGGACAGGAAGGAGGAAGGAAGGAAGGAAGGAAGGAGGAAGGAGGAAGGAATGGAAGAAGGAAGACACATGGAAGAAGGAAGGAGGGAAGGAGGAAGGAAGGAACAGGAAGGAAGGAAGAGGAAGGAGGAAGGAAGGAAGGAAAAGAAGGAAGGAAAGAAGGAGGGAATGGAATGGAAGACAGGAAGGAAGGAAGGAAGAGAAGGAAGGAAGGAAGGAAGGAAGGAGGAAGGAAGGAAGGAAGGGAAGGAAGGGAGGAAGGAAAGGAAGGAAGAAGGAAGGAAGGAAGGAGGGAAGGAATGGAGAAAAGGAAGGAAGGAATGGAAGGAATGAATGGAAGGAGGAAGGAATGGAATGGAAGGAGGAGAAAGAAGGAAGGAATGGAGGATGGAAGGAAGGAATGGAAGGAATGAATGAGAGATGGAGGGAGGAATGGAGGGAAGGAAAGGGAAGGAAGGAATGGAAGGAATGGAGGAAGGAAGGAAGGGAAGGAATGGAAGGAAGGAAGGAGGGAAGGAAGGAAGGAAGAAGAAGGAGGAAGGAAAAGGGAATGGAGGAAGGAAGGAAGGAAGGAAAGGAAGGAAGAATGGAAAGAAGGAAGGAATGGAAGGAAGGAAGGAAAGGAAGGAAGAAAGGAATGGAAGGAAAGGAAGGAGGAGGAAGGAAGGAAGGAGAAGGAAGAATGGAAATGGAAGGAAGGAATGGAAGGAAGGAAGGAAGGAAGGGAAGAGGAAGGAAGGAAGGAAGGAAGGAAAGGAAGGAGAAGGAGGAATGGAATGGAAGGAGGAAGGATGGATGGAAGGAAGGAAGGAAGGAAGGAAGGAAGGAAGGGAAGGAGGGAATGGAAGGAAGGATGGAAGGAATGGAAGAATGGAAGGAAGGAAGGAAGGAAGGAAGGATGAAAGGAGGAAGGAATGGAATGGAAGGAGGAAGGAAGGAAATGGAAGGAAGGAAGGAAGGAATGGAAGGAAGGAAGGAATGAAGAAGGAAGG